CAAATTTGGCGAAGCGTATGAAATTGATAGCAAGAATTCGTGTAATATAGCTGATAAATTAATAGAACATTTCTGTAAATTCGGAACACCTCAGGAGATTATATGTGACAACTGTTAAGAATTCAAAAACAAAGTGGTAGAGTGAAGTGAAAGTGGTAGAATCATTCTTAACGTTATACAAGATTCGTTGTAAATTCATGATAGTCGGACATCACGAATCGAATGAAGGATTAAATGAATGAAATGAAAGGAACACTTAAAAATACTAAAGCTACTGTCGAAATATATTTCCATAAAAGTTGCCATTAATAGAGCTGTATTGGCATATAATTCTAGTATTAACCCAAATACGGAGCATATGATGTGATAATTACATCAAGTTATTATTTATATAATAATAATATTACTTCTCTTAAGAAGCTTTTTCACGTCGAAAAATTAACAACATTAATTTGTATGTTTAGACTGGTTTAGACTTGATAATCATTTTTTTTATTTATATATCGTTTTTTATAGTAATAGGAAAACATATTTGTGTCATATATAAACAAGAAAACTTGATAATATTTAAATACGAAAATAACGCCACAGCACACATCGTTCGAAATTCTATTCGGAAGAATTAACGTGCTCGATCCTATGAACTTAGACTTTGAACAACGCTATATGGAAAACTATGTGAATAATCACAAGAAATTCACAAAGCTTTTATACGAAAACATTAATCATAAGACAAAGGATCTAAAACTATTGATAAAGTTAACACCAAACAAAAGTCACCAAATAAACAATTAGGAGCTACCGTATATTTTAGGAATAACACAAAAACCAAATGCACTACTCCGTACCAAGACCCGTATATAGTCGATGAAATTTTAGATCATGAAAAGGTTAAATTGAAACCCGGCCCTTGAACTAAATTAAAAACAACAACAGCACATATCAAAGAATTAAAAGTACATGATTAAAATTAGGAATAGCATATAATTCTAAAAACTATAATTACACAGTTAGATTTAAGTTCATTAGTTACTATAAGAAATAAACACTTTAAACTCACCACGGATTACAACCTTCAAGGTAATCATTTTTCATTATTAACGGGATTTCAATAAGAACTAGATGACAAAATAAAAACTTTACATATTCGTAACAGACCGAAAAGAGGTTTGATTAATGTTTTGGGTAATGCAATTAAATTTATAACCGGAAATTTGGACGCTACAGACGACGAACGCTATGATACTTTGATAAATCAGTTAACAGAGAAACAAATTAATTTGGTTGCGAAAAATGACCGTTTTCTCAGGTACTTGAATGAGACAAGCGAAACGTTAAATTACAATTTTCGACTATTAACGTATAAATTGGATCAGATTGAAAATCGATTTTAGGCCATCAACCGTGAGATATTCTTTCCCAACAAATCGAATCTCCTGAACATTTAAACAGAAAGATATACGAAATTATAGAGATAATAAATTTAGCTAAGAGAAATATTTTGCATTCTTTGTTAATCGCACCAGAACAACTGCTTAAAGAATTAAAAGACGTTCATTTAGATCCTACACATAAATTTCTTTTCGAAATCATTTTAGAACACACGTATCTTATTGAAACCTTAGTTGAGCTAAAGGTGTCTCAATAGTTTACTGTTTTACACCTATGTTTTACAAATACCGTTAATCACGAATGAAGAATATCAGTATTTTGAATTAAATCCGCTACCAACATCATTTAATGGTGCGTACGTTGAGATAGAACCCTCCTCTAGATACATACATGGATAAACAATATCATACCATGACGAATAACAATCAGTTGGAATGCTACGATAAAACCAAGTGCGAATTTGAAATTATAACGCAGGCAATCTTATAAATTGCAGAAAAGTTTTATGAAGTAGAAATTAACAATTATAAAATAATAGAGACTAAGCACGTTACCCTATTTATAACCCTACAAATAATAGAAGTAAAAGAAACCTGTGGAAAATATAATAGAAATGTCCGATTAAAAGGAACATATCGATTAAATCATATTAATAATTGTAAATATAAAATTGATAATATTATTCTTCAAAATTATTTCAAAAATATTAAGCTAATTTAACTCTTAGTCTATTGACATTGTTCTGTATCGTATGTGCGGGGTATCCAATAAAAAACAGCGAAAGTGTTGAGATTCAGGAGAATCCAGAAGAAATTTTGTGCGAAAATTAACATTTTTAGTAACAGACGAAGTTACTCAAAATATCCCGACCAACAAGGTTGAAGTGGATGTAACGTATCCGGATCATGTAAAATTGGCAAATTCTCGATACATCATACCTGGAAGGGTAGATGCCTTAATTGGAGCAGAATTCTTTTTTGATTTACTTTTATACGGCCAAATAGGATTTGATAAAAACAACCCCGTTTTGCAAAACTCTAAACTGCGATGGTTGGTGACAGGGACAATGAGAACGAACAATCGGGCAAATAACCCGATTACTTGTCGTTCCACCAACATTGAAAGTAAAGATGAAGTTTTACAGAACTGGTTGAGAAATTTTGGAAAAGAGAACAATTTCCACATGACAATAACGAAACCTAAATGGATACTTCATAAGACCGATTCACAACCCTGGTTTATTACCAGTGATTAAAATGGCGCTGAATAATTTTATCTTATTTTATTTTTAAATTTATTGTAAATTAAAGGGGGTTATGCCGGGTATTACCTAGCAGAGAGGGAGGAAGAGGAACTTGAAGTCAACTTCCTGTATTTCTTGTCAGGTTTTTTCTTTTTTATTGACGAATTGAATATACCATGTTTTGTATAGCTTTCGAAAAATTAGTACTGTGATTAATTGGCAAGGCGCTGAATAAGACGACTTTTCTTTTAGAATCTAGAAATCACGAAAAACCGTGATTTGAGTGAGGTTATGTCACTCCAATTGAATTTTCTTTGTAGGCTGTAATGTTCTGATGAAGGATACAAATAAATCCGAAAGCTTAACGTTATAAAAGAAAAAGCATGTTATTCAGCGCCTTGCCGATCAATCCCAGTACTAATTTTTCGAAAGCTAACATAGTACGGCAAATACTACCATACTACTCATATTTTGTATATTTAAGAAATAAACTATTATTATTATAGACAGAGAACAATGTAGAGTTTTACGTATGATGTGCTGTTGTAACGAAATAACAATAAAGTTTTTTTTCAAACATAAATTTTGGTTTCCTGACAAAAACAATCCAGTACGTGCATACCATCAGATACCTGTGGCTAAAGAAGATGTTGGCAAACCAGCGATTTCAACACCAGTTGGCTTATTCAAATTTTCGAGAATGCCATTTGGCCTCCAAAATGCTGCTCAAAGGTTCCAACGTTTCATGAATGAAGTACTTTCAGGCCTAAACTTAATTTTTGTCTTTTGGAAAACAGTCTTGTTGCAAAAAAAAGACAAGACCACTTACGCGCTTATGGTATCAACATATAACCATCAATATAGCGACTGTTTTCTCTCCATAATTATCAAAAAATTGTTAAATAAAAATTAGGGTTGAGTTTCAATTAGTCGTGCCTGAAGACGTGATGAAAAACACGACATGTACATTGCACCGAATTCTAAATAAATTAATAGTTTCATCAGAACTCAACTCTAATTTTATTTAACCATCAATATGTATTTTTGGTGTTTATTCTTTAGATTTTCTTGCACATGAAATCTCGTCAGAAGAAATCCGTCCTTCTCAAAATAAAATAAAATCTATTAACAATTTTCAAAAAGTACGAATTTGAAAGAACTTCAAAGATTTTAGGAATGATAAATTACTTTCGCAGATTTGTGCCAAATTTTTCAGAGCTCGTTATAATTTGGTAAATACCCTTTGTTATAAAACACAACCTATACTTTGGTCTCAAGAAAACATTTTTCACATTTGGCCACAGTCGCCTCCGGCACTGCTATGAAGGCTGCTCTTTAACAAGCAGTGAACGGTTTTACATCCCCACTTGCTTTTTATTCAAAAAAACTCAATCCTACTCAACCGAAATATTCTACTTTCGATCGAGAAATTATTAGTAATTCATTCCGCCATTAAATATTTTAAACATTTCCTACATGGACATTAGTTTAGTACTTTTTTAGTCTTTCAGATAAAACTCTTCGCTAAACCCGCTACCTAAATTATATAACCCAAGTTACTTCAGAAATTAAATTTATTAAAGGTGATTCTAATATTGTAGCCGACGCTGTTACGAATCAATATTGAATCCCTTTCATCTAATTATCCGTCGTCTGACATCACACGAGTAGCCCAAGTCAAAGCTGAGGAGTTAAAGAAAATTGTATAGGTAGAAAGTTGGCTAGGTTTCAGTTCATGTCGAGCATTATTGATAACATAGAAAAGGAATAGTTGAGGTGCAGAAATAATGCATATAGAGCACTTACAGAACATACTCCAAACAACAAATTCGCCCTTGAAAGGCTATCAGGGCAAAATTTAAAGCGATGTGTAGAATGTAGTAATAAACAGAACGGAAGAATGAGGAAATCAAATCTAATTTGCTCTATGTGTAAAAGAGGACTTCACGCGTATGACATTTTTAAGCATACGAAACATGTGGTTGTAACTCGTTTTGAACAGTGAAATTGCATTTGCAAACCTTGTAATAGGGAAATTAAGAATTAATAAAACTATAAAATAAATAGAATTAAATATATGTATAACAAGAAATACAAGTAAGCTGAACGGATATGCATCAGCATATTGTAACAATTAGATACTTGAGGACCTTCCGGTAGAAAGGGGCTAAGTACCCAAATTCTACATTTCAAGACATTGTCACAAATAGGTTCTATATACCACCTTTTATTATATAAAAAAGAGCTAAGTACCAACACAGAATTTTAGAGGTACAAATACTTAATGAAAGATGTCGCCACAGTAAGTGCCTATACGAGTTTAGGTTGAAAGGGGCAAAGTTCCAGTGTGCCAGTTAACAGTGTCTAAAGTTATGGAGTCCGAACGAGAAAATAAACGAAAACGAGGTAGTGGCAGATGTAGAGATGAAAATAAAACAAGAAAAGATTCAGGGAAAAGTTATGTGACTTATAAAGGAGTTCAAAAGCCTGCTAAAGTTCTACCGCAAAATGAGGTTAGGTTTCATACAGCATGCTCGCAAATGAATGTAATAACGTTTATTTTGTTGGTTGTAGGTAACATGTAAATGTTACTTTGATTGTAAAACATTACGTCCGGAGAGAATGAGACATCTAAATGAAGAATTTTATAAGCAAAATACAACCGTACAGGGTACATACCTTATGATTCTTATACATCTTGCACCAGTAAGTAGACGTAGAAATGGGTTATACGAGGATTCCAGTGATAGCCGTCGTCAACATACAGTGCATTATACTGTTTCGAATGCAAAAGGAGAAATGATCAGGATTTGTAAGACTACATTTATGAACATATTCTCAGTAACTAAAAAAAGGTTGGAATGTTTAATTAAAAAGAAAAAACTAGGACACACAACTTATACTGATAAACGAACTTCTAATAAGCCTAAAAAGTTTAATGAGCAGGATACAGAAATGATTAAAACACACATTCGTTCAGTACCAAGGCAGGAAAGTCATTATTGCAGAAAAAAAAGTTCTCTTGAATATTTAAGCCCAGATCTTAATATTAGACGACTGTATGATGCATTTCGGCTTCAACATCCAGAAACTAAAATAACTATGGCTTATTATAGATCTGTATTTAAAAACAAATTTCCAAACTTGAAATTTCATCTCCCCAGAACTGATACTTGTCGCGTTTGTGATCATCTTAACTGTGACGTAAAAGCAGCAACAGTTTCAAGCAATAATGCAAAAGTTAAACTTGAACTGCATCATCGTAAAGTTAAAGCGGCTTCTCAGAAGATGAGGCAGGACTTAGCTAATTCGCAGTTACCTGGTAGTTCTTTTTCCTGTGTGGTAATGGACTTACAACAAGTAAGTCACGTTTTATGTTAAGAAATTACAATAAATTTATGTCTTCTGTATTTCGTTTTAGGTTCTGTTTGTGCCAAGTTTAACGCATAGCGACATGTTTTACCTCAGTCAGCTTAGCTGTTACAATCTTGGAATTTATGTGAGTGACATTAATCGATCATTCATGTGCACTTGGCATGAAGGGGTTGCAGGAAGGGGTAGTAACGAAATTGCATCTTGCCTTTTAAGCCTGTTAAATAAAGAAGACGCTGTTACTAAAAATGAACTACGAATTTGGACTGACAACTGTGCAGGACAAAATAAAAACAAAATTTTAATATTATTGTATATCTTCCTGGTGACTCACAAAGTGTTTAATGTGATAGAGCATAAATTCTTAGTCAGTGGTCACAGTTTCATGCAGTGTGACCGCGACTTTGGTCTGATTGAAAAAAGGAAAAGACTCTCGCAACCCATGGTCCCTAAAGATCTACACGATATTATTAAAACAGCGAAATACAATCCGCCGTTTCAAATAATAGATATGGAAGAGCACGTATTTCTTGATCTTAAAAAAACTGCTGACCATTTGCTTGATACTAAAAATTTTCAAATTAGTAAGCTGAGTGAGATCAGAGTACATTCCGGTAACCCTGCAATAATAGAAGTAAAGCAAACCTTTGTTTATAGAGAATATAGTTAGCTCACGAGATAGAAAGAATTGGCAACCCATAAAAGATTTAATTTTTGATGTCGCCATCTAGCGATTAAATCTGTTTTTATTTTTATATCTTAACGAACAGTGTTCCATCTAGGAGTTAAGTCAGATAATAAACCATTGACAATTCCATATCAAAATATTTTACAGATGCCTACAATGAACTTTAAAAAAAAGCAAAATTAATCGACTGAATATAAAATTAAATCAATAGTAAATCGAAAATTGTAGGTAATTAAGACCATTCTTATCGAGTAAGTTCAGTTATGTATACATTGGTATTAATCTCGGTCGGCGGCTTTATCAATCAATCGATATTTCGATATTTCGTGTTTTTAGGTTTTAACGAATACATCCGGGGCAGGCGCGTAGGGGTGTACTGGTTGTTTACTGGCGATATTTTGAGCAAACATAAGAAAATTTCAAAGAACCGAAAATACAGATTCGCATTTTGTTGAAATTAAGCAGGATTGACGATATAAGTACATATACAAATAAAATTAAAATTTTTTTATATATAAAGATTGTTTATGTATATTGTTAGCAATTATGCGTTTTAATTTACACATTTGATATTTTTCATGATGAAACTGTACACACTGATTCTGTTTATGTTTAGAGAGAATGAGCGTATACATTTGTACCTGCTATTTGTTTATTTAAGGCCCCTCGACGCTCGAACCGCTGTCGATTTCCGAAAAGATGCATTCTTTGTTCGGACCCCGTATCAATTGCCGTTCAATAATTATGTGTTGCGTAATAAACTATTCTTTAATACGAGTGTTTGTTTTCTAAGTGCGCCCTACCTTCAAGAAAAGTTCAGGTGGATAGATGTAAGTATTCTAAAACTTTCATTCAAACTTTTTTGTCTCTTTAATAGTCTTCGAAAATTTAATATAATGTTTATTTTATATATTATTCTATAGCACTGAATAGATTCCATTGTTTGTTATATTCCCAACAAACATAAGTAATAAATAAACAATAAAATGTCTGGAAATAGATGTGTATATATAAATTGTGCCACCAGCAAAGCAAAAAATCCAGAACTCAAATTTCATCATTTTCCAACTGAAAAAAATAACGATGAAAGAAGAATCGATAATGGGTGAAGAATTGCGGTAAGTTATAATTTTTAAAGTTGTTTTAATGGACATTCATTTACTTATGTAAAGTAGTCAAATCGAGCTTAATCGTGTTATCAATCAATTAGAACAATTGCAAAAAGAAAAAAAAATATTTTATTGAAGGAGTTAGTAACATATCAAATTATAAAATTATATATAAAATATAATTTTTGTAACCATTATTTTTTAAATTCTAAATCTGCACGCTATATACAGATCATTCAAACGTAGGGTATCAAATTGAAATCTTCCGATTTTAAGTCGAAATGAAAGAATAACATTTTTTCCGATTGNTTATTTAAAAAATAAATTTATGGAATCAATTTCAATAGTCGTGGACAAAGTATAGTATTCTACTCGCATATAATGAGCTATTATTCACTCAGGTTAATTATGCCACTCGCTACGCTCGTGACATAAACTTAACCTTCGTGAATAATAGCCCTCATTATATGCTCATATAATAATATACTATTATTCTGTTCATTTCTAAACAAAATAAAATATCCACATTATTTTGGAGCTGCATAGTGGTCTTGAAAGAAGCAAGTAACGCAATATGTTTTTTTTTGCATCGTATCACAATCGTACAACTCCAAGGCGATCTTGCAGTTGTGTTCTGGGTTTCTTTTCTGCCTAATTCTTCCTACATATTTTTGTAGCACACAGTGTAGTATTCCAACTGATGATTATCAGTGGATTCTTTATGATCACTCTCCTCATTTGTTTCAACAGTTTTTCTATATTTGAGAAGTAATTCTGTAAGTTTCTCTCTGAACTCAATATACAACATGTGTATTTACTAAGGTTGCTCCCAGAAACACTTCTAGTGCCAGTTTCCTGTATCATTTTACACCTCTCCTTAGAGGAGAATTGTAATCTTTTTGTTGGTCTGATAAGTCTATGATTATCATAACGGCAAGAAGTATTCACGACCATACGTGAGCAACAAAAACGATAAATTTGTCGGAGTTAATGATCAAAATGATGATTGAGCTTTTTGGTTATTGAAGACGGTTGGATAACTTACAGAGTTGAGGAACATAAGGTTAAAACGCTTTAATTAATTATTTGCAATATTATTTCTTTATTTATTTAACATTAGGTTGAAACAAACAACTTGAAAACAAACTTGTTTTCCCGAGGGTTGTATTTCAATTTTATTATAGACAAGTTTAGTAATTTTCAATATTTTAAAGTATTTTTTAACGAGTTTATTATGAAATCAATCTTTGCTCATTCCCTAGTCTCATTAAACAAGTAAGTTGGTTTTTTACTATTTGTTTTTTCATGAATGATTATAAAACTTTTAATTGTTGGTTTTTTTCTTGTAAAACTTTTTTAGCATTGAAAACCTCTGAGGAAGATTGAATAAACAATCGAAATATTAGCACTTTTAGAAAGTTGTTTCATTAATCATCATTTTGACCGTTAACCCCGACAAATTTATCGTTTTTGTATGATTATCATGACAACAATTTGTATCGATTGGGATCCTTTCGGTTCGGAACCTTTTTCATTTGGTCTAGGTGCTTTGTACTTAGGGTCATGACTTCGCGTTTGTCTCTCCATTTCATCATTAATATGCCTGGTCTACAGATTCGCGCTATTATCTGGCGTATCTTCAGTTTAACTTTCTCTACATCATCATTATTATATTTTCTTATCCGTCGCAACGTTCCAACGAGATTAGTGGTTCTGGAAAGTAGAGTTCTGGCCAAAGAAGCACTGGTGTAATAACACCCTTTGTTTAATACTGAACGCATTAAATTCATAACAACCTCCATTGATAACAAATATGCCTTTTCCAAAGTGTTAATAAAAGTGTCCTCGTACCAATAAACCAACACGTTTTGAAAAATAACTTTTAGTTTTTGAGAAAACAATATTTGAAGTTTTGATAAAATTTTCGATGTTGCAATTTTCATCGATAACTTTCAAAATTCGCTATAAAATT